TGATTCCAGTCACAGGCCTGTCCTTGTTCCTCTTTTGCCAGATGTATGAAAACAACTCCCACCGGGGAGGATCACACTCCAGTAAACAAAACAACAACCTCTGTCAACCTCAGCGGGCAGCACAGTCTCTTAACATCTCCTTTCTGGCCCGGATCCCACGTGTAACCCCCCCGTACAGCAACATTCGTGTGCTGTTGGAGCGCCCTTGAGAAACATGCAGTTTGGGTCAAATTCAGGTCATTTGTTTTTCTAATCCAGTTGGGGGAAATGGTCTGTTCCTATATATCATGCTTCTCTAGTGTTGATGACCACTCAAAGTGCTTTACAGTACAGATTTACATTCACCCATTTACACACACACATTCGTACAGTGCCTCTACGTGCAACACTTCTCTCTATGAGAAGGGGCAGTATCTTGTCTAAGGACATTTCACCATCCGGAATGGGGAAGACTGGGATCGAACCACTGGTCTTCTAGAGGACAACTGCTCTCCCCCCGAGCCACAGCTGCCCCTAATGTAGAGTCATGGGTTTAAGCCAAGATCACCAGTTCTGAATCTTTCTGACTGGGAGAAAAGTTCTGCTCCAGCTCCTCCCATTACAACCTCCGCTGACCTCCCATTATAACCTCCGCTGACCTCCCATTATAACCTCCGCTGACCTCCCATTATAACCTCCGCTGACCTCGGCGCTATCCGAGCTGAGGTTGTATATCCGCCTTTGTGTTTCTGTGTGGGTTTAGGGGTTCGGCACAGATCGCTCAATATCCTTTCAACCTGCGTGTACAGTTTATGTTGTACAAAACCAGCGGCCCTCGTTTCTATAAATTGCGGTTGTTGTGAGAGATCAGAAACTTCCTCCACACATCTACACCAACAAACGTGCAGGTCGCAGTACTGCAAGATAACACACCCACACACGACTGTGTCCTCTGGTGAAGGGTTCTGAGGAACATTTTAGTTTCCTGTCACAACAGTGGCGCTGAATCAAGTGATTTGCATACAGCTGTGGAAACAACATGTACCTCTTTTATTACATTTTATTCAATAAAGGAAAATGTCGAAAAGGAAAATTAGAATTAAAACAAAACTGTCACAATAATTGTTTGTATTGTTTGAAACGACAAGAGATTCAGAGTGTGGATTTACCTGCACTCCACATTTAAGTGGATGAATGTTCCCCCTCTTGAATTTAATAATTATGTGAACACAGTGGGAATATTGAGTTTTGCATGATAAAGTGTCTATTAGAGCAACAGTTGCACACACAGGTTTGTTTCATGTGTATGCAACATGTAAAACAAACACTCAAGGTTGATGTTTTTTCCCTCCTCGTCCTCCGCAGATGACAGAGCAGAGGAAGAACAAGCAGAGGCTCGGATTTCTGGGTCCTCCTCAGCCCAACCATCACATCCCTGCACACTGACGGACTCGAGGTTCACCGAGGACACAGACACGGGCCTCTCCAGTGCAGGCTTGCAATAGGAACGCACTCACATAAACTCCAGCTTAACAATTCACATACTCAGATGTACACCAACAATTACTGCAAGGTGACGGCAAGGCTCAGTGCCTTTTCTATGACACAACACTGCCTTATCGAATAGAGACTGCACCGTATGTGCTTGGAGGAGCACACCTTCTCTCAGGCTCTCGTTTACTTCGTCTCTGTGAAAGTTTGCCAGGCATGGCACACATCTGCCAGTGTTAGGGTGCCACTCAGAGATGGAGGGAGGTGTTGAGGTGACTGGTTAGATGCTGTCAGGTCTGCGGACGGACATGTCTCCTGCCTCAGCACTGACCAACCTGTCGCACAGAGGACAGTGATTGGCTGAGATAAGAGAGGCTGAGGGTTTTGTGCGTATCTGATTGGCCTCCAGGGGACAATTGTGAGTACTAACAACACAACTTTGCCTTTTAGATGGTATTTATAAAAAAAAAAGTGCTGTAATAAACTGGAGTATTATTTTTGCATTTTGAAAAAAAAAGAAAAAGTAATCATGCTGCCTTACACATTTTATAATCAGTAAACTGCAATTACTGAATGTGCACTAAGAAAAAGGGTAAAAAGTCAAGCAGGTAACTAAACTGGAAGCATAGTTTGGGCTATTATTTTTTGGTTTATGTTGTTTTTAAAAATGCCTTAACTGCATCATTTCAGTTGCCTTTTTTTTTTACAGATTTCTATCAAACTAAATGTGAATAAAAATAATAATGACTTGTTCATAACTTACTTGAAATTTCTTTTTAAGTCTAAATCTTATATTGGTACATGATGTAGTGCTGACAGATGATGGTGAGTTACAGTTCTGCAAAATGTAAGCTCACTCTGTCTGCTCAGATCGTCTTCTACTGTTTCTTAAAGGTTTTTCTTGTGTAAATAATCTTCATCAGTCTCTGTCGGACTGCAGTTGATTGTTAAGTCTGAACTTTTAAACTTGCACATGCGAATGGCAGATAGTTGCACTTGATGGTAACTGTCCTGTGACGTTTTCTGTTGAAATAAACTGTATAGAAAAAGTATTTTATGTGGTTGTAATAAATTTGTAACAAGACTCATTGCTTTGCTGTCAAGCTGTTTCCTCCCCCACCACATTCACCCTGACCCACTCTGCAACCACCCACACAGTGTTTACTCACACATGCACTTGTCCATGCAGCGAGTACAGGACCTTGGAAAAGACTTTATTCAGACAGGATCACATTTCAGCTCAAGCTGAACGGGGGTAGTTACAGCTAATCTTGGTTAATTGTGCTTGTCGTCATTGCTTCAGTTTCACTCATCTTGTCATTTTATTGCAGCTAATAAACATCTGCTATGATGCATGGAGATAAGAGCAGACTCTTGTATTGTCACGCCAGTCCACTTTAAATTTTCAATTGTAACACTCATTTGAATAGACTAAGTTATTACAATACATTCGTCCACCAAGTTCGGTGGTAATCAGTTCAGCGGTTTTAGCGTAATCCTGCTAACAAACAAAAAATGCCAAGGAAAACATGAACTCAAAATTTAGAATCTCATAATGTTGAAAAAATGCTGAAAATAAATTCCTCAATCTGCCTCCTGAAGTTTTTGTGTAATGCAGCTCATAACAAACAAATAAACACAAACGCAGATGAAAACATAACCTCTCTGGTGAAGGTGATGATGGGTTATAATCTGACAGAGCTGAGGGATTCAGACAAAAAAGTTGAAACTACTGATGTAGAAAATGTTAATTGGTTCTATTTCGGCCTATTACCAGTATTCTTAATGTCATTTAGTATTGTGGATATGTCAAAGCTATGACTGGTTGTCGGCTCATGTGTTTGTGCTTGTGTAGCATATTTCAGACGACACACAGTCATCACAGAAAGGCCTCGACCGGTCCTTTATCCCGTCTTGCCATTTACCCTCCACAGAGACGCCCGTCCTTCTTGGCTCCAGCTCACTGTTTACGCTGGCAGGCCTGCATTTGCTCCTGCTGGCTGTGACAGCCATTAAAATTAGCTCATGCAGCGCCATAATGGTGAGCAGCTGTCACTGCATAGACAAGAAGGGCAAAGTGCAGCATGACTGGAATGTGTTGGACTCGGAGAGGCGAGGGATGGGAGAGGATAATACCAGGACCATCGGGTGATACCTAACAAACATGCAAACGTGCACTGCCTCCTGAGCAGCCTCTCTATCAGCTGACATTTGTATTCGGATCACGCAGAACATTCGACATTAAACTTTGGTGTCCCCTTTGCCAAAAAACTTGTCAAATTACTTCGGGGAAATCAGCTTAGGATAAAATGCTCCGCTTCATTTGATTCTCTCAGTGCACACCGAAGCAGCCCAACACACGTGAGCAGTGTATTATTTACTTTTGGAGCACAACCTCAGACACATTTGGATCACATCATTTTTGAATCTCTTTGCAAACTGCAGCCGAGGGGGTCACGTGCTCAGCCTGTGTGTGTTCAGTGGTGAGAGCGAAAAAACACCCAGCGAAGGTCAGTAAATACAAGGAAACCTCCAAAACACTCTGAGGCTGGAAGCGTGTTGAGTGACTATATTGACTAATTCTCTGAATGGAACACAGCAAAACTACCTCTCACAGGAAGCTTATCAATTAAAGCTCAACCATATATTTCACTGGCAATATATATATATATATATATATATATATATATATATATGTAGCTATACTGAACATACAAATACATGTTACATTGTCTGCTGATTAATCAGAACACTGGATGGGAGTTCAGTCTGTCGTTTTTAGGTTGACGTGAAAGTTGTTTCTCCACCAGAGTCACATATCTGTTTTTTTGCTATGACAGACCGACGGACCACACAGAGAGTAGCGACCGAGTGAGGAGGAGGGGGAAGGTCCCTCCTCACTGTCATTTTTATAAATAAACATGCCCCCGTGATGACTGGCATATGACTTCCTGTGTCTGATTGTGTGATTTCAGGTCTTTTTTTTGCAGTCACATTATATGCGTCAACATCATAAAACTTAAGTACAAGTAAAAAATACTGCAAACTGACAACCCCCCCACCCTGATTACACATTGTACACACCGCAGTATACACGGAATCCACTTATATAATGCGTGAAATGTGTCATTACAAAGAAATAATAGATCACTCCCATAATTAAACAGCAGCTATTTTAATATCCTCGTGATTCTCTGGTGATATCAGAAACATCCATCGTCTCCGAGAAAAGTGAAGACGATGTTTCTGAAGTTTACAAAAAAAAAAACGGCAGGTGAATCAAAACATGATCCCTGAGGAAACCAATGTGAGCAGGTTCAGATAAATTACAGGCCAAGGCCCACAAATCCCCTTAAATGTAATGAAGCCGCACCACATTTCACACACTCATAGATATCAGTTACCTCAAAATAGATTGTTTTTGTCAAGATACATGAATTATTCTCTGAAAAATGGGGAATGTGTCACACAAAAAAAAAGCCCTATCTTGCAATGTTAAAGAAAATGGAAAGAAAATATCCTGGATCCACAACAAACTTTAATGAGTTCTTCCTCGACTCGTAGCACAACCTTACACCAGGTTTAATGGAGATCTACCCAATTGTTTTTAAGTAATCCAGATTGTAAAAAAATAATAATTATTAATTAATAACTATCACAATACATCTAGACATGCCACACATGACTCAGTAATGGGCTGGGATCCTTCATTTGGAAAACCAATCAACTTCTAATTCCTTCACTTTTAATAACGTGCTGGGCTCATGTTTAGAGAAACTTATTTCTGCTCAGTTTTCAGTCTTCGCTACAAAGCAGTTCCCTTCAGTTTGTGTCCGTTTTTGCATGTTACGAAACAGAAAATTGAGGAAACATAATTTAGCTGAATCAAAGATTTGTATTTGTAACCACAAAATGTTTGACAGGCTTGAAATGCACATACTGGAGTCTTTATTCCAAGACAATACTGTGAGAAATAAAACATACATTTAAATCATCCCTGGTTTAGGTCTCCAGTCTCTGCTCAGCATGTGTAGATGGGTGACTCCTGTTCTCTGCACCTGAGCTGAAGAATGAAACAAAAACTAAACTTTGCACTGAGCAGTTTTTAAAATCGACGGTCTAAACTTTTGTGCCTGTTTTATTCCTTTTGTGCTCGTCCCAACATCTGAAATCCTGTAAACACACAGAGAAGTTACTTGGGTCCAGCTGCCTGTCTGAGTCCCCCCTTTCCTCACCCCAGCACTCCCCTCCTCCCTCCTCTCTTTGTGGCTTCAGTCTTTTGACTCCTACAGGCTGTTTTGAGTCGCTGTTGGCTACTGGCCTGGCATCCGCCCTCATGAGCCACAGCCCAGTTCAGTCCGGATCCAGTGTCATGGAGCAGAGAGTCTGTCAGGATCAGTTCTCACTGTGTCTAGCTGAGCTGTCTGGTGCAGGGTTTTATCTCAGTTTGGTTGTTTGTTGAATTAATCCACGTAATTGCTCTTTTTGTGATAAACAACATGGATGTGAGTTGCAATACAGAGTTTAAACTTCAATGTTTCTCCTTGTAAAGCAATTAACTTATAAAGCTTGAAGCTGCATCATTTTATATTTGCAAACCACAATTTGTTTTTTCAATCACTGAAGCAACTAATCATGATCATTTAATCAATGTAACTCAAATCAAAGGACATTTTTGCATATATATTTTGAGAGTTAAGTGCAAAACAAATACGTGTGCTTTCTCATACTGTAATTATATATAAGTTGTATGTCTCAAGAGCAAATGTCAACATAATCAGAAACATTGCAAAGAACTGATTATTGTGCTGGAAGACAAATAATTGGTTTAGTTTTTCACAAGTAGACTAGAGGTTTTTCTTCTTTTCATCTACACAACTTTTATAACATCAGCAGTTGGAAGTATAAACTTACTCATACAAAATCTGTGCAAAAATCCATTAAAGTACAGCCACTACAAAGGGTTGATATAAACTGACATCAGAGAAATCACACACACCAGAGAGGCAGATTCCCTGAATGTGGCTCCTCCATCCATCCTGACCTGACTGATTAGACTCATCCCATTAACCCTGTCCTCATCACATTAAACCTTCTGCCAGTGCTGAGTGGAGGGAGCGCTGATCTGAAGACCGGCGAAGAACACCTGGTACCGGTCCTTCCACATGATGAAGGCCCCAACGGCACAGACGAGCGCTTGGGCCAGGTTCAGCATGATCTGGAGCAGGAAGTAGAGCGTGAGCGTCCCGTTGATCACCTCGCAGTCACCGGCGCCTTCGTAGATGAAGGTGCGGGCTATTGGGTCATCTCGATCCAGGGTGCACACGCAGTCCCCTTCCACCTGCTCGCAGCTGAGGCTACTGGTCTGTGAGTAGTGGTATCCAGCGAACGCTATAACCAGCACGGAAATGACCAGGCCGATGACACACAGGATAAAGTAGAGAAGCTGTGGAGGGAGACAATGAGGTTGAGCATTTAACCTTGAAAGCTAAAAAAAACCAACTGCTTCTCCATCTTCAAATCCTTTTTATTCTAGAAATCTGACTCCTGCCTCAGTCTGTTGTCTCATGATTAACCGAGAGCCAAAACTGTAGCTTAGAAACTGACATACAGGGCTCAGTGCCTATGGTGATTTCATTTCAAAGAGATTACCCACATTACCACAGGGCAAGGTCTGACCATCAGAGCAGGAGTCCAACTTTTGGCACGGAGCAGACACAGCACATGTAAAACAAAGATGGCCCTGCAGCTACAGCCGCTTCCCACCTCAGAGCACATCCTGCGTGTGTGTAGCATCAGAGTGAGTCTAAAAATACAGTTGTAAAATGTGATGGCGGCTTTGTGTTGTTTATGCAATTGCACAATCTCAATAACACTAAACCTTCATCTTAATCCATGACTTACATAACGGAGGCGCTCATTCGCTGGAGTATTTTGCTCTCTGTTGTGCTTATGGAATTATGCAAGTGATGAGCTGTACTCGCTTTGAAACGGAATTTATGTTCATTTGGGAGCAGCTGTGAGATCTGGGGTATAATTGGTTACAGGGAGACGTATGTACAGCGAGGGCCTCAACAAGCGCTGTAAAGCATAATGTGATTCACTAAATGGAAATGAAACACCAGCGAAAGGAAGAAAGCGAAAGGCATCAACATTCATATTGTGGTTTACAGTCCGTGTGGCACTCTGCAGCACTTTTTAGTGAGCACTTAGAAACTCATAGAGCTCCCATTTGACAAACTGAGTGTCTTGACACAATATAGGGCAGGCTGAACGGGGATACCGGAGAGCCAGGATCCTTATCTGCCACAACAGTAGCGCTTAACTTCAAGAATATCTCCACTTACAGAACATTTTCACTCCACTTGTATCTCCCCTCTTGAAAACATTGAGCCAAGGGCAATTGAAATAAACGGGCCGACTGTAAAGCCATACAATCTTAAAGCTGTGGTTTCATTCAGCTCTTTGAGTCAAGCACAAAAATACGACACATGATGGACTGACTGCAGCTACTCTGGTATATACAGTTCAGACTTAGTTGCTGATAAAACAATGTCAGTGAAAATAAGACCACAAACATTATACTTCATCTCTAGGCTACAAAACTCAAATACAGCAAGATTATGTTTGTATGTTTGTATATATGTAAGAATATGTAATAGAATCATCAGAATAACACAATTATAGAGGCTGCTTCTGAAAATCTGTGCAAATTTATAAAAACTATTTTTAAATCCAACAAAAAGAAAAAAACACTAATAAACTAATAAAATTAAGGGTGTCTTTATATATATGTTTTGTATCCATTAATATTTACAAACATCCCTTATTTTAATATGTACATTAAAATATTAATTGTTGTCATTCAGAGTCAGGTGATATTTAAAACTACAAATAAACTTGGAATTGGCATTTTACCATTCCTTTCTGCTAAGACCGCACAGTCTTCCTTGAAAATGCTTCTGAAATGTTTTGAAACAGCCTGTGTACATATTTAAATCTCGTATGCACACAAGAGACACACGGGAGAAAAGAAACCTGAGGATGCTGCTTCCAGCAACCCTCTTCTCAGCAGCAAACAATGGTGGACTGATTTTAATTGCCTTGAAATTCCAACTGCATATATTGTATAGCTAATTAAGCCGTACAATCCGGTCGCATTAATCAATGCACTCATCCACTCATAGGAATCCCTGCAGAGCTCTGTTAAACAGGAATGCAGTTAAATGCCTTCGTGTCTCTGTCTCCACGCCTCAGTCAGTAGAAGTTCTCTGAGAACAGAGATCTAACAGCAACAGCGTTACTGAGTAAAACATTGTTCTCTGCGAAGGTCACTGAGGAAAATGGAAAAAAAAATTGATCTGGTTACAAAGAGTCCTGTTGTGCATCCTCAAGGAACCTGGTTTGACTGCATACGTGACACTCGAGCACATATTCCACCTCACTTTCATTTGTTTGCAGTGGATGTGCGAGGATGTGCGTGGAATCACCTTGACAATGAACTGCAGAGACGTCCTCTCGTCTGGCATGTAGGTGATACAGTAGAGGATGAAGCCCACGATGGAAATGAAAAACAGCTGCAACAACAACACCAGAAAGTGTTCAGCATAGTTTGGTTAGATTCACAAACATTTCTTAGTCATTCTGTGGCCTCTCACTATCGCAAAGAATGTAATCAACCCATTCATTTCTGACTCCACGCTCTGAAGGATGATATCATCTTGATATCCTGCACCTTGTTGCTGTAGGTGTGATATACAGGTTTGCATTCTTGCTATAGAAACAGGATTTTTGCTGTAGAAAACCTCTTGTGGCCACGTTTTCAGGAGTGCCTCTTAATATTGCATGATTCAGCAGTAAGCTGTCATCTGATTACATTGCTCCCTCTTGCTCTCTCTCTCTCTCTCTCTCTCTCTCTCTCTCAGACACACTCACACTCTGTCTCTTCAGTGCAATTGGAGTCTTGTGACTAACGTTCAGCATCTTATTTAAGTGTTTTTCCCAGGTTTTTCAGTATTCGGGGTTCTCTGGAAAGTTCCTGATGACCTCAGTGTTTTTAACTGGGCTGGATCTCGTGAGCATCTGACTCGGGATGTTAGTGTCCAGGGATGTTTTCGAGAGGAAATTGCATCTGTGATGGGCGAAAAGCCACACAGAGGAACACCACGTTGTTTTGTTTTTTCTTCTTCTTTTTTTAAAAGTGGAAATATGATCTTAAATCTAATTCTGAATTGAATGATACTTATTTCATTCAAAATAAGAGTCAACGTCACTTGTTGTTTTTCAGAGACAGTTAATCGTTGTTCACTTGTTGTCAACAGAAACATTTACCTCAACAGCTTAGACTGAAACTGAAATGTAAAGAATTTAAATGAATACATTTAACACATGTCAACACACTTCAACTTTCTGTGGTGTGTAAAATTCAATTTCAAACGTCTCATCATTTACTGTTCAACTGACATTTAGCGTTTCATCTTAAATGAAACTTAACCTCCCCCAGTGACACTTCAGCTGCTTTCTCTCACTTACACATCAAATGTTCACAGCTTTTGTGGCTCTGACATTGACGGATGTTTCAACCTAAACAGAAACTCCAAACATGATCCAAACAAATCACATGTATTCTTTTTTTAGTTGAAGTTATAGATAAAGGGAATTAAGAGTGAACGCCGTCAAACTCAAACCTTGTAATAAAGTAGATAAAATGTTAATTTATGTGTGTGTACTAACAGTGAAGACAACCTGTGGGTATATGCACAACACATTTGCAAGCAACAAAAAATGTATTAGATACTATTTGATCAAAGGTCCAGTTAGTACAAGGCATTCTGGGATTGGCTGTCGGTTTCATCCGCCCAGATGCTGAGGATTCACTGGACATGCAGCAGAAACAACAGGAGGCTCAGGCAGGACCTCGGGTGACAGATATGAGATCCAGGTGTTGGCTCTTAGATGAATATGACCGATGAGATTTATCAGAACATGACAATAGCAGTGACTGAGAGGAGGGCCGGGGCCAGTGTTGACATGCAGAGTGGAGAGAAGTATCCATGCAAACATGTGCATGCAGAAGCTGATGTTAGAGCGTGAGGACGGAGCTTACGATGATCCCAGCCCAGTGTGGCGTCTCCCTGGTCAGGAGCGAGGGGCTGATGGCCAACATGAGGAAGGCCACGGCTGTGACAGCCACCCCCAGCAGCAGCTGGAGCAGGGCGACGAGCAGCGGGAAGCAGCAGCCTCTGCACTTATTGTTGTGTCCTGGCTCTGGACTTTCATCTCTCCTCTTCTTGGCCTGCTTCTTCTCTGAGGAACCTTTCTGCCCCATATCTCCTCCTGTCTGCTCACTCCTTTCCCCTCTGTCCCTCTCAACTTTTACTATTGCAGTGTTTAGGGTGGGTGAGCCTGCCTGTCTGCCTGCTGTCTGCCTCCTGCCCCTTCCCCTCCCCACTGAGGCCTCCTCTCACCATAAGCCCGCAGCTCGGTTGCTATTTGGAAACAGAGAAGGCTCTGAACTAATATGGAAAGCATTTGGACTGGATTCCTAGAGCCGCCCTAGTGCCACATATAGAGCAGGCAGCATACTGTGGAGGAAACGAAGAGAGGGGAAGGAGGCGTGGGGTAGAGGAAGACACAAAGGGGTACTCCAACGTACGGCAGTGAGAGGGTTTCACTTGTACTTACATTAAGGACAAGAAAGGGAAAGTGCAGGAGTATATCAGCAGGTATGAGTTAATGAAAAGCCAGTGCAGAGGAGGTCACACTTCATTTGAGATCAGGAGTGATTGGATCACTCTTTGTCAGCACTGTTACACAAGAGAGCCATACTGCCAGCCAGAAAAGAGTCACATGACTCACAGGGAGAAGTAATGTGATCATAAGGCATGTGAGGGCATTACAGGGGCTCAGATTTGGATGTTTTTGAACACTTTAATGTTCTGAGGAGGGTAACAGGTGTCACTTAATATCAGATTAACTTCCCGGAGAGGTTTATAAATCACTGGTAATGTGTAAATACATAGTTTGGTGGCGAGATCCAGATCCAGACCCTGCTGACTGCTATCATTAGCGAGAACAGTAAAAACATCACGGAACGAGTGGCCTTGGATTATTTTGGGGTGAATCTGCTCAAATTATTTTAAAAGATCAGAAAAATATGCCAAAGACATAAACCTTCCATTAGAAATTATTATAATCACCATTATTATTATTATGATCATCATCATTTCCCATAGTTAGACAGAGACAGTGAGATGAAGGTGGGAGAACAGCGCACATGCTGAGATTAATAAAGAGGCGAGATGCACGTGTTGGCGCACACAGCTGGGCCGGAGCCATGGTTACTGACAACGCAGCTCTGAGTGGGTAAACCTTCCCTGCTCCAGGCAACAACACACACACACACACGCACACACACGCAGGGGCACAGGGGCGCGCACACGCACACACCTTGGAAGAGGTCGCTCAGTGTTTACGCACAGTGTTTACTTCACATTAATCCCTGTGTTTCCACCAAAGGCGTTAAATACAGGAATTGTTTTGTGTTTTTTGGAAAGATTAGGTTGTTGAAAGTTTTATTTTCTGCCAACGAAATTAGATTTTATGTTAAAATTGCAGGAAAAGTGCACAATTTTAAAAAGGTGGACATTTGACCCGTGGACGCCCCTGTGACACTTGTGGTAATTTCTCTTATAGAACGATATAATGTGATTATATTATAATGTGCTACACCTGCAAAGTTTTAGAGACTCACACTGTTCAATGTTTAAAACTGTGGTGAGCAGATCATTTTGGTTCTGCTCCTCTTCACGCCTGTGTGCCCTTTACCACATTCCGCGCACGAATCACGTTTCATCCACCAGGTCAGCATGGCTTGGACGACATCTCTATAGGAACAGCGGCTGCAACACAGAGAAGCTCTAATTACCGGACTTTGTGCTGGTGCAGGCTACACGTGAGTCGGAAGCTGTTCCCCACCGGAGGCGCGCGTGCGCTCTAACCACAAGCACCGTCGGCTTTGCAAAGTGGCAGCTCAGGGAACTATAGACATCAGTCTGAGAAGCAGCTCCACCGGAGGACACGCACTGTGCATCTATCGCCCCCTCAGCCGCCCGTGTGTGGACAAAACATTCCCCGCAGAAGAGGAAGAAGAAGCTCGGGTGCGGATAAACAGGAGCAGGAGCAGCAGGAGCAGGAGCAGCAGCAGGAGCAGCAGCAGCAGAGAAGTGATGGATGAAAGAATACCGCATTTACAGGACAGACAGTTCATGGAGCACGCAGATTTCTTGGGGTGAGTGTCGCTTTTTGGCAAAACTCTGTCAAACTACCTCTGATAAACTGTGGTGACCGTGTGGAGAATAACGGGACTCTTTGCTCTTTATTCAGGGTGGATTACCCGGCTATCTACATGTGCAAATCCAAAAGAGGAATAAAACGAGAGGATGGAGGGAAGGTGAGAATCCTAAAATCGACTTTTGTGCGCTCATTCAATTTACGCACGATCCGCGTGTCGCATGCAATAACTTTTGACTTTAATATTGCTGCTTTAAAACAGTAACCGGTTGTTTTTTCCCCAGCAGGACGCTTACAAGTTACCACACCGGTTGATAGAGAAGAAGAGGAGAGACAGAATCAACGAATGTATCGGGCAGCTGAAGGATTTGTTACCCGAGCACCTGAAGCTGTCGGTGAGATCACCAAACTTTTTTATACGACCTTAAAGATCCTGTTCTATTACACGACAAGAAATCATCGTAAACAGACAACTGCATGTTTTGTTTCCCTCCACAGACGCTCGGGCACCTGGAGAAAGCAGTTGTCCTGGAGTTAACACTCAAACACTTGAACGCACTGACTGCTGTCACTGAGCAGCAGCACCAAAAGATCATCGCTTTGCAGAATGGTAAGAGGAACAATTACTGACAAGGTTATGTAAGAAACCAGGCTGCGTGGGTTGATTGGGTTGCATGATTAAAGTTGCGAGATTACATTACACTTTATTATTCCATGTAAAGCAGTCACAATGTATATGAATTGTGCCAATGTCATGTATTCAGGGGATGTTGCGCATTTATTTAAATAAAACTGTGTATATATATATATATATTTACGCAGACGATCGAGGATGTGTTTACTTTGTTAGTATGCAGACATGCAGACGTGCTGTTGATACACGTCCGTCTTGTCTCGTCATTGACTTTTGATGAGCTCCACTTTACAGAATAATGCTCTGTTAATCTCTGAACTGCGTGTCTCGCAGGGGACCGGTCGATGAAATCTTCCATTCATGCGGACCTGGACGCGTTCCACTCCGGGTTCCAGGCCTGTGCCAAGGAGGTCCTGCAGCACCTGAGTCAGTTTGAGAACTGGACGGCGCGAGAGCAGAGGTGCGCGCAGCTCATCAGCCACCTTCACAAGGTGCTGGCGCAGGTCCAGCCCGGCGCGCCGCCGCTCCAGCACCAGCTACAAGTCGGGGACGCACAGGATGGGCAGAGAGCCGACAGCCAAGCCAACTGCGTCCCGGTCATCCAGAGGACCCAAGGCGGGGAGCTGAACGAGAATGACACCGACACGGATAGTGGATACGGGGGTGAGGCTGAGAAGAGCGACGGCAAAGATAAAGACTGTGCGCGCAACAAGGGGCAGGGACCAAAGGCGGTGAAGATAAAGCAAGAGTTTGGAGACGAACGCGCTGCCAAGAAACCAAAGATGAGCTGGTCTGGGAGCGGGCTGGGGGGCGCAGACGCCTCCAGGCCTGACCTGGCGCTAATGAACTCTCTGATGGGAATAAGCAGTGTGGGACAGCAGACACCGATCTGTATGCCTTTTTACTTCATCAACCCCTCGGCTGCGGCGTCTTATATGCCTTTGTTCGACAAAAGCAACATTGAAAAGTACATGTACGGTCCAGCGGCGGCGGCTGCTCTTGCGTCCCCGTTCCCTTGGCTTTACCCTGCGCACGCGTCAGCCGCTGCGGCCGCGGCTGCTGCTGCCGCGTTGCCCGGCTTGTCTGCGCACTTTGGCGGCTCAGCTCATTCCAAGGACTGCCTCTCTCCGGACCGAGATGAGTCACACGAGACGGAGACGAGCTCACCTGACGAGCGTGAGGAGAGTCTCGCCAGTGACGACGGGGAGGGTGACGCAGGTGATGCGTTCCAGGAGAACAAGAGCAGCAGTCATGATCAGTTCCCTGCTTGTCCCATGAGCTAATCTGTCCGTGTTACCTCTCTGTGCGTCCTGCTGAGAAATGTATGTATTCCTTAAAAAAGAAAGAATGAATTTGGCTACTTTTAAAAAACGAGCTCTCACTGAAGAGTTCCACGTGTCCAAGATCTTGGAGAAGGGGACAGTTGTGACGGCGCGTGCCTTTTGCACTCATGTTAGAATGATTATCGACAATGATTGACACTAGTACACGCCTGTGTTGTGCTGGAGTTTTTTATTCTCTTTCATAAAAATATTTTGAAATGGCAGCATTGGTGCCAAAACTTTGAATACTTGGACAGTGCGCAGCGCAGTCTCCCAATCAGCGAGTCTTTTTTTGGATGTATGAAGTTACAACTGACCTCTGCCAAGGTTATTAAGAGCCTGGCTCACTCTGACTGTAAATATTATAACCTGGAATACGGTGTGATTCCTTCACGTGTAAATGGGCACTAAATGGGCCTACAAAATAAAGAAGTGCTCCTGGAAGCTGCAGGACCTCATCCCAAAGTTTGCACGGGGATAGTCTTAGTGCAACACACACACACACACACACACACACACACACACACACACACACACACACACACACACACACACACACAC